TAATGATGCAGACTTTACCTTTTCTGTGAGATGGCTAGCACATACAATGCAGTCACACGACCTGCACGTTTTCATCTTTGCTCATGGGCGTAAATGAGATTATTTGTGACTCTAGAACTGCAGGAAAATCATCTCTTGGCCAGCAGGTTTCACTGATTGGCTGATAGCATTAAAAAGAACATGCACAATCCCGAACACATCATTAGTAACTATCCTGAGGCATCAAATGTGACTCTGTTTAGCAAATAAATAAATAAATAATAATAATAATAAAAAAACTTGAAATAGTTGTCAGAAAATATATTTAGTCAGAATGCACTACTAATTTTGAATGACTGAGAGAATGAAGGTAGTTAAAGCATCTACCAGCAAGGGCAAACTACTAAAACTAACCAGCTAATCTTTGACACTGGTAGAAATGAACCAAAGTATTCAATACTTCGCAAGACAAAGCTTGCACAATAGAGCTGTAGGAGTGAAGTGCAGTAAAAATCAAGGACTTTTTCTGTTATATATGTTATACATGTTATGTCAGCAATATAATATCTATATTGTATAAATATTATATAAGTAAATATAATTGTATTATTCTATATAGTTTACAATGTGTTTATACTGTATAATCTAATCATTAGACAGTATTTGAAACTATATAAAAATACTCTATTGCTCATCTATGAATAAAAATCAGAGTAAGACCTTGTGTGTGAGTGTCTATGTATATATAAATATATACTTAACTATATGTAACTATAATAAATATATACAGTTTAATATATATTAATATTAAGTAATGTATTAAATAGTTTAATCATATTATTAATTAACAGTTTAAATTTGATCATATCACACATATATAATATACTGTATATATATGAGAATATACTATCTATCTCATGAAGTCACATTTATCTTTATTTTATGTTTATTTTTTACAACTTTGACTTAACCTATGGTGTGAGTTTGGGGGCGGGACTGACTAAGAAATAGTTTTTATTGTTGTTTTAGTGACTAGGTGATGTGTATGGCATAGAAACCGCATAACTGAGCTTTGATCAAACATTCAGGTACAGAAATGTTGGAACTACTTCTGTATAATCTTACACAACTATATAACAAACCACCTATAAAATGAACTCCACTTCCAAAGTCAAACTGTTCTTCTGCATCTAGTTCTGCTTGGTTGTTGCTGATTTGAGATCATTACAAGTGTAATTGATCTGGATAATTCAAGAAGAGCTCTCTACGAGCCCCTAAGTACTAATAAGAGCCTGTGCTCAGACCCATTTTAGACGTCACCCCAAGGGGTTGAATTCATTTACAGTGTCAGGATATCTTATTTGCCGCTGTGCCTTCTATTGCCTTCAGTGCTCAACTGGATTAAACCATTAAGCCGTGGTGTGTTAAGTAGCTATTTCTGCAGTGGAATTCATGCGCTACCAAAAATTACCAGGCCCTTTAGTGGCGACGGGAAGCATTTTTCAGCTCTGGATGTCTTTCCAGTCTGAATTCCTGCTGTTTTTGATGCTAAAAGTGAGAACTTGAAGGTCTGCCTGTGAGATCTGTCTTAAAACAGAACTTATGAGATAATTTGCAACAAAAATGCGTAATAAGATGTGTTTTAGATTGCAAGACCTCTAAAAAATTACTAATGGGCCTATACATTATAAACATTTCATGTATTATAGAGATTTTTAAAGGAGAATAGTGCATTGTATCTTACTAAATTAAACTAAGTGCATTTCAATCAATTATTATTGAAAGTCCACTGCACTTAGTAGAAAAAAAGTTGTGAACTCAATAACTGATTATTAAGCAGAACTCAAGCTTTGCTTCTGACTAGGAGTTAAAGCTGCAGTCCGTACGTTTTGCCTCTTTGTCGCCCTCTCTGTTTGAAAACCTGGAATTGCAGTTACTTGCAGAATTATCTTCCTTGCGTGGGTTGTGAGTCGGCATGGCTCCAGCGCGGATGAATCTAATGTTTTGAG